GGGATAGGAATAAATGGACAAGGGAGACAATGGATGGGAAGCGAGCTAACCAAAATAAAGCTGTATGAGAAACGTATATGGAAATCCACTACTTCTTTAAGCTAGTGTAAAAACACAATTATTTTTAAAAGGAGTTTGAACATGGTGGTCCACATGGGTGGACAATGTTTCCCCAGAAGACATGAAAATGAAGAAAATGAAAATCTTGGTGCCAGAGAGATACGTCAATGTAAATGGTATCCCAAGAGTTCCTCAAAATAACCCAGGCTATTGCCACTGGCCTTATTTTCCCACTTGGATGGTAAGAACTAGATAGTAAGGCCTTATTGCAAAAGACGCAATACACTTTGGTTACAGGACAAAGAGGAATCAAGCTGAAATTGACCTGAGAACGTCCTCCCTGCTTGCTAGCCTTTATGGTACTAGAACATGCTATGAAGTCACTAGAGAACAAAAGGCACCAATGGTATTAACTAGACTCAAACCCTGCATTCTGTAACTAACCTGCCAGGCAAGATGTGCCCATGGTACAACAATGGCATGACTATTACTGGAGTAACCAATTGCTTTCTGCTCCATAGGAGGGAATTCATGCCTCCTACTGTAAGCAGTGTTACTAAGTGAACATGTTGTCAGGCTGCCTTCTACATAGTTATGCTTATACCCATAGATGAGTACCAATCTCAGCCCTAGACAGTGGTGTTTCTCTCCGTAGTGGGCAACAGCTATTGCTATAGTGGTAGAGTATCTGTGTTTTCATAAATAAAGCTTGCCTAAAGATCAGAAAAGCAAAACAAAGCCACTAGAGAGATCTCACCTCTACCAAGTTCAGACAAATAAAGGAGTGATCCTGCAATGTTCTCCACCAACCTTAGACTCTACACTCCACTGAGTTCCTGTCTCTTCCCCCTTTATATTCCTCTCTCTGCCCAGCCATATCACTCCTGTCTCCACCTCCCTAGTGCTGGTATTAAAGACATGTGATCCCAATGTTGGGGCATTCATCTTTGGCCTATAGGCCTAGCATATCCAACAGATATGTAAAGCAGGCTATTCTGAAGGGCTGACCCTCTTTGTCTTGACAAGTTTGGCAGTTACTTTCTTTTGTGTCCTTCTTGCCCAGTTAGGACAGCATACTGTCAGCCGTTGAGACAAGGGCATTTTATTGCCCAATGGCTTATTTTGTCACAAAGAAAGTAAACTCCATGTGGAGTTTCTTTGATGCCCATTATCTTCTCTGAAGTAGATCGGTGCTACCAGTAGCAGACATGCCTCATTGTCATACAAAAGAACTTATGTTATTAAAAATGCTTAAATGCCATTTACTCTTTTTCTTAAAACATTTTTTTCTGGATGATTTGTCCCTTTTCTTCAGATGTCTTATTTGTCCGGTGGTCTTTAGATTTCTAAGATGGATACCGTTATTCTCCTGAAAAGACAGAAACAAAACCCTTCCCAAATCCTAATTTTGGGGAGATTCTCTTTTGACAAGTTATATCTGATCAAATGAAAAGTATTTGTTACTTTTGTGCATTAGTTTAGATTAAAGAGCCATGCTGTTTGGTGAGCTATCATCTCTTCTAATTAATAAGTGTCTCTTGTTCAAATTGAATCTTTATCAATTTTGATAGTATCTATAGCTTTTTCTTGTCCTGTAAAAACAAAAGCAAAATTCCTTCCTCAACATAACAAATATCCTGGTTTCCATTATAAAGTCAGTACATCTTTAAGTATATCAGCTGATTTAATTCCATAGTTTTTTTTTCTACTATCCAATGTCTCTCTCTGTAGCTGATGTTCTTTTCTCATTAGCATTTAGAAAATTCAAAGTTAATAAATTATTATGCAATCCACTTTGGGGGTCTTTATTATTCCTTTCAGTTTATTTAACATATCCTTTAGAGTTCAGTTTGATCTTTCTGTAATGGCCTGCCCTGAAGGATTATGTGGTATACCTGTAATACACCTTATAATAAGCAAAAAACCTGTTTTATTTTCTTAGAGACATAAAGCGTGAGCAATGTCTGTCTTTATTTGTGCAGGTATACCCATGATGGCCACAATTTCTAGCAAATGTGTGATTACTGAATCAACCTTTTCCGAACTCAAAGCAGTTGTCCATTGAAAACCTGAATAGGTATCAAGGGTGTGTTGTTCCAAGTTCTAAAAAAAAATGGAACACATCCATCTGCCAGATTCCATTCCTTTGAGTACTTATTGGGGTACCTCCAGCAGGTTGTATAAAGAATAAGTAGGACTTTCCTTATAATTCCCTTGGCTTGTTGCCACATGATGGAAAAGTCTTTTTTAAATCTTTATTATTGAAATTATGCTTATTATGAAATTCTGAAGCCCTCAGCACATTTTCAATCAATAATTTATTAATTGTTGCATTATCTTGTGCTAGAGGACCTGGCAGACCCATCTAGAATCAGATTGTGCTTGTATGTGTGATATTTCCTATTCCTGATTGTATCTTATAACTGAATAAATAATTAAGTCAATTCAGTATCATCTGGTATAAATTCAGTGGTTTCAATACACAAAAAAAACTATTTCTGCATATTGCAAATCAGTAGCTATATTAAGAGGTTCTTTAAAATCCCCGAGTACCATGAAAATAGCATATAATTCTGACTTTTGGACAGAATCATAAGGGCTTTTTTCAACTTTACTTAAATTTTCTGTTTTGTAACCTGCCTTTCCTGATTGATTTGCACCAGTATAGAATGTAGGGGCTCCAGTTATTGGTGTGTCCCACACTATGTGAGAAATGATCCAATTAATTATCTTTATAAATTGAATTATCTTGCTTTCTGGATAGTTGTTGTTAATCTCTCCAAAAAAAATTACTATAAGCTCTTAGCCAGGGTTCACGTTCTGCTTCAGCTGATAATTTCCTGGGACTATTTAAGTCCTTGTCACCATCTAAGGTTTTGTTTAAATTAATCAGGTCATCATGACCTATCCCAATAGTGTGCCATAGATGGGAAAGATCTCCTAGCAATCTTTGGAAGTCATTAAGAGTCTGAAATCAGTCTCTCCTAATTTTCACCTTTTGGGTTCTAATTTTTTGGTAACCTCAGTTCACTTACTGGTCACTTCCAAAAGAAAGTGATGCATTTAGGAGGGATGGGAGCAGAGAGATGGCTCAGAGGTTCAGAGCACTGGCTGCTCTTCCAGAGCACCTGAGTTCAATTCCCAGCACCCATGTGGTTACTCACAACCATCTGTGACTTCAGTTCTAAGGCATCTGATGCCCTCTTCTGGTCTCTGTGGGTACTACATGCACATGGTGCACAAACATACATGCAGACAAAACACACAAAATTTTAATAATAATGATAGCAATAATTATAATAAAAGGTATTACTAGAAAGAAGGATACCAAACAAATTGACCAACCAAATCATTTTCATTCAATTCCACTGAGAGCAATTTTGGTGGCGTTTTAGCTGGGACTGGTGGCCCATACTTGTATTCTCAGCACTTAGAAAGCTGAGGCAAGAAGATCATGAGTTCAAAGCTAGCCTGGTACACACTAAAAAAGGTTTTAAATCAAAAGCTTGTAGATGTCCGTGACCTTATCTCATTGGAGATGCATACAAATTCTATCAGACAGGGAAATGAGGCTAGAACAAAGCAAACATGAGAGTAGGTAAGAGTAGGAATTCTGTAATCCTTTCCATTTCACCCCTATTGATCTATAAAGAACAAAAAAATGAGTTTTCAAATATTTTGTTTAACTTGACAAATTTTCTCTAATTTTATTTTACTGACTATCTCCATTGTGCTTAATTTCTAACTTCTGATCCGTTTGTTTAAGCCTTGTAGGCATATCCTGATTGGCTGCAAAGACTGTGTAATTATCATACATAAACCCTGTGAGGAAGTGAGTGCCCTCAGATGAACTCACCCATATCAGATGACAGAGGTTGAAGAGAATCAGAAGCCTTGTTTTCTTCTACACCTTTCCATTGCAACATCACTGTCAAACCTTACAAACACACTGGAAATACCCAGACTACACCTAGGTGACCACGAGGCCCTTTGATTTGCAGTTTGGAGACCAGCTGGGGAAGAAGGATAGCTATTGTCTCTTGTAGATGAACCCTCTTTCTGGAGTGAATGTTCCTGATGCCCACATGTCTCTTCACACTCCAGTTCAGTAGTTCAAGTACATCGAACATAGATGGCTGCTGCCTAGAGCATTCTGGCTCTCCAATCAGCCCTCTGGGAACTGACCAGACCCCACCACCATGGGTCCGGAGTGAGCCGAAAGCCCTCTTCCCTTCCTCTGCATAACTTTTCCCCTTGTCATCAATAACTAGCCCTGCCTGACTATCCTGATGTAATATGTGGGAAAATACCAGCAACTAATTAGGAACGAGCCTGTAAAAACTTTGGGGGAAGCTACACGTTTCAATTACATTAATGAGCACGCAAATGCAATCAGAGCGGAGGGGTAAGCATTGTGTCAAGTTTGCACAAGAGGAGAATTGCATTTCCCATGCATGAAAGCAACTCCCTAGTAACTTGCAGAATCCGAGACTAAAAATAAGCATGCAAAGAAAACCACGAAAACGCTTATTATTTGAGTTACATTAGAATTCTCTGAGAATGCTCTCATCAAATGATTTGTGTTGTTCTAATTCCCTTTCATCAGACTCAAATTACTCTACCTATAGGTTACGTGGTTAAGCAAATGTTCCTTAAATATCAAACTTTTCATTGGTTTTTAAAAGATTTAATAGCAACTTGAAGATGTCTACTAAATACTTTCCCATCTTAAAGTAATCAATTTGTTCACACAATAGTTCATAGATGATGACCCTAGAGGGAAAAAAAAAAATCTTCCAAGGCAAAAGCTTTAAATCTCAAAATGTTTTATGGTTTAACAGCTATCCATAGAGTTGAAAAAGATGATGCTGGAATCAGCTAAAATTCAATACCTGTTCTTTAAAGTGTGCTAACTGCAGTGGGGAAAGCCTGGCACTCACGGTCAGTGTGCAATTCTAGGACTTCAGCTCCGGGAAATCGCCCATGGAGAAGGCACGGCTTCATGAATTCAATTTTCCCGTCCATCCATAAGTGGCTGTATTTCTTCAAGTAGCTTTGATCCTTCGGAGCATTAATGGTGACTGATTGGGCCCTGCTTGGGATTTCCTGGCGCATTTCCTCCAGCACATCCGTCTGAGCCGTGTTCTTTCCTAATGGGAAAATAAAATTGAGAAAAGTAAGTGGGGCCACTGATTTCATTTAAAACCTCAAGGAAAAATAGAGGTAGCCTGCACGCCCCGCCTGTACCCTTGCTAAGCTTAAGAGTTTGTAATATTCAAGAGCCTTCAAAACACCACATGTTAACTGGGTCTCTGTAAAAGGAAGACACACCAAGTACCACAGAGGGTCCTGTTAGTTAAGAGAACATTTTGTAAATCGACCATCAGTAGAGAATTCTTCTGGAAAGGGTAAAATTGGCCCCTGGTTGATGTGGTTTTTTTGGTGTCTTTGTTGTAGATTGTTATTTGCCTGGTTTTGTTTCTGTCTTTCTCTTGGTGCTGAATTCTGCATCACTCAGCGAATATATCTTTCACATGAACATAGGAGAAGTGAGATACCACGAATTCACTAGAACTTGGTTTTCTTGAGTCTGGAAAAACGGTAGATTTCCGCCCCGTGAACACTCATGGGCCACCAAAATTAGACACTAGCAGTCTAGAAAAGGTGGAGGTTTTCCTCCACCATCATCTCCTTCCTGCTGAAGGAGCTCAAGCTGGTGGGAGAACTCAGAGGCGGAATCGTTTGTCTGTTGTCTGCTGGGATCTCCTCAGGCCTCCCCTAGGCTCCAGCAGTCACCATCCTGAAGCCCCAGGGGCAATCACCTCCTGTGATGGTGACTGCCAAGTCTTCCTAACCTTGGCCTCTGTGTTGGTTAGAGAAACCAGGGGTTAACAAGGGTCTCTCCGTTTATATAGCTGTGCTTTCCATTCTCCTGCTTGATTAAACATTATGTCACAATTATTGAGTAAGGTAAGAGGAAAAAAAACTGATAAGATGAGTGTGCTTGAGGGAAACAGTCCATCTGTTTATCTTATCTAGAGATGAAGATATTTTAATTTCTCTTTTTATCCCAATTGTATCAGTCAATTGCATTAGGGTTCTCTCAAGGAAAAGAAGATAGATAGATAGATAGATAGATAGATAGATAGATAGATAGATAGAT